TGAAACCAAAGAAAAAGTAAACATAACCATTAATTTTCATTTACACAACATTGTTTTGGCACAAGGACAATTCTTATGATAATCAATTGTGAAAACGAGAAGGTTTAATCCTAACGTATATTTTGTCAAAGTTTTTTGTTCAAACTTTGGATTTACATTTTAAGCTGCTTTTTACAAAAAATGGGAGGATATACTGGGAATTCCCACACAAAGAAATTACATATGGAGGGAAGACAAGAAGTAAGTATGGCTCTATGTGAAAATCTCAAAAACCTACCAATCCACAAGGAAGAATTTCCCTCTCATCAGTCGCCACAGCTTTCTGGCTCTCTAACGTCTCACCCTGAAAATCAAATGGCAAAACATTCAAAACCACATGTATTCCCATTCACAAACCTTCAAACACAAACATGTACACATAAATGAATATATAAATATATATAAATACAAACACAAGCTCACATACGTACACACACACATACACAAACAAACATGTATATACAAACATACACACACACAAAGACAAGCACAAGCAACTACACACGCACACACACACATATACACACACTTACACACACAAACATGTATATATATATACAAACATACACACACAAAGACAAGCACAAGCATCTACACACAAGCATTTACACACACACACACACACACACACACACACACACACACACACACACACACAAAGACAAACACAAACATGTATACACACACAAAGACACACCTGTAATCTATTCACCACCAGCTCAATGCCAGCGACATCCCCACCGGCAGAGGTCAGTATTCTCTGTGGGCTGCGACAGAAGTGAAGCGTCCACTCCTTGACCTCCTCTGACCCTGGCCTGACCGCTGTGCCTGTCTTGTGGATCAGCTCAGTCAGACGTCGTCGTGGCCGCGGCAGATCTGAACAAACAACAACCCGAGAGCTAGAATAGGCAGCAAAAGGGGGAGTTGAAACAGGCGACAAAAGTGGGAGCTAGAATAGACGACAAAATGGGGAACTAGAATAGACGACAAAATGGGGAGCTAGAATAGACGACAAAATGGGGAGCTAGAATAGACGACAAAATGGGGAGCTAGAATAGACGACAAAAGGGGGAGCTAAAATAGGCGACAAAAGGGGAGCTAGAATAGACGACAAAATGGGGAGCTAGAATAGACGACAAAATGGGGAGCTAGAATAGGTGACAAAAGTGGGAGCTAGAATAGTTGACAAAATGGGGAGCTAGAATAGGGGACAAAAGCAGGATCTGGAATAGAGGAATAAACGACAAAAGAGGGAGCTAAAATAGGCGACAAAATGGGGAGCTAGAAGAGGCGACAAAAGATATTTACAAAACAAATTAATTACATAATCAAATACTAACAACATCGTGGTTCTGAAATATCACTGTAACTACTTATTTACATTCACTTAGTCAATGATAGTCCGCTACGAATAAGATCCCTAACATGGCACCCGAAAAAGTGACACGAGACAAAAAAACAACAATAAAAAACCCAACCAAATGAATCTGAATCATCTATGAATGCTTCCTCAGTATGATCATTTTATCTGTGTTCATTGTCTATGATTCTAATTGTTTTCAGAAGGCATTGGTATGGAAGCTCCAAAAGTAACTTAGCCACTCGAAAAACTTTTCACAATCATTGAGGAAAGACAAAATCCAACACTATCTTCAGCATCATCTTTCAGAAAAGAGAAACAGTCTAATAGTTTTTCTTCAAGTGTCAGATTTGAGCAAGACAATCATGGTCTGACATTTATTTCTCTGTTCAAACGTTTTCTAAAAAATATATTATATCTTGATCTTTCCCCGTCAACCATCTATTCAAGTTGTCCAAGTAAATTATTCTCGGTCTAGCTCTGGCTCTTTATTTTCCACTGACAGCAGGATGTTCAAGACATCAATTCAAGTGTTCTTGGACATGAATTTACCCCTTCCCAATTGTTTTTGATTTGTGACTGTCTCATGCAGGATTTTTTCTTTTCGTACCACTCCATCCATATCCTGCCACAAACCTTTGATAATTTTATCCAGTCCTTGGACGTCGAGAGGAGAGATGACGGGTCGTGTCCCGGGAAGTTTGACCATCTCCCGCAGCTCCTTGATGGTGAAGGCGACCTGCAGCGGCCCGCGACGGCCCACCAAGTGAACACGCTTCACTTTGCTTTTCCGCAGACAGTCCAGAGCATGCTCCGATATGTCTGTTTTCTGACAGACGAGAAAAAACGCACAGAGTTGCATTTGCTTTATCAAACATCATTATGCCAGTAAAGTATCTAAGAAAGAGTTCATGAAAGAATCTATGAAAATGAAGATCTCATACAGCAAAAAAACAAAACCAGAACACATCAAGCTGAGGAGATTACAAGACTGTATGTTAAGACTATCAGCCTGTTTGTTTGTTGCTTTTTGGGGGTTTTTTTAGTAGAGGGTTATACGGCGCTCGCAACTGCATAAGGTCATATGAGCGCCAAGGGGCGGGTGTCAACAGAGAAGTCTTTACAGGGAATCAGACTTACTCTGCTCACCTCTCTAGCTTCAACAGCACAAGGTCTGCTTCAACTATCAAGGCACCCCAAAATAGCAGGTCACAAGAGAGTGACAAACAAAGAAAAGAAGTAGAGGAAAAATGACAATAGTAAGGATTAGGAAAGAAAAAGCAGCAGTTCCCTGTTGTAGATCAGGCACAGTTATGAATGTGACATGAATCAGCCCATTTACAATTCTACTATGCTTGAACGAGAAATGTCCCCCCTTTGGGAATGGCCTAAAGACACTTCAGTCAGTGGCACCGCCCCGGGGGGTGTTTGTTTGTTTTAATAATAGTAAGTCATAAACAGACTGACAGGATTACAGTAAAACCCAACAACACAGTAGGAAGACATGGAAGAACAAAGCAGAACAGTGGCAAACTCTAGGTGTGTGATTCCCAAGCTTCTGCTTTGTCTTATAGTCAAGTGTACTCTCACAGCAATGGTGTCCTCTATGAAGGTGAACAGCTGGAAAACAATAAAGTCAATCACTTTCAAAAAGATAAACTAAAAC